TATTTGCTTGCCTACTATTTGCTGCACACCACGCTCTATCCTGGACACTGGATAACTTTTATCTTCATTAGAGGGCAGATTAAAAAAAAAAAAAGTTAAGTAACAGCACTGGTACGTGCTGGAGGGCTCCACCAGCAGAGTGGGGGAAGTAGTCGGGGGCGGGGAGGGGGGGCCGGGAGGAGTTTCTCAGAGGGGTCATTTGGGTGTCAACCTGAAAGACAGGGCACAGTCCTCCATACCTCTCTCCTACACAAGCCCTCACCACCCTCTCGCCATGCATCTTTTATCCACTGAGGCCAGTGAGGTGTATAAAGCTTTGATATTCGTTGGTCCATGTTAAGTCAAAAAATAATAGCAACTTATCGCTTAGCCCCTTCAAACCACAATCATCCACAAATCCGCTGCCAAATAATATTGTTCACCCAGGGGATTATCTACCTTGCTCTTCCATCTCTGCTTAAAAACAAACAGAAGGAAGGAAAGAAGGAAGAAGAAAATTCTTCTCAAAAGCTCTCCTATAGTCTCCCCACGCTGCCGTGCAAACAGTCAAAAATCAAATCAAAAGTGGTTCTTGCAGGCCACTCTTCCTGTTCCTGCCCACGTCCTGGTGCCGCCCAGGCCTTTCCTACAGTTCTTCTTTGTGCTTTATCTGAGATTTAAAACCGGGGCAGGGATCCTTTCTCAATGCTCAAGACACAATAAAATATTAAATATGGTGAGTCAATATCACAGCACAGGATGCCCAAGTGACTCCCAGAAGAGGCCTAAGGATCTCAATCAATACCACAAGCCAAGACACAAATACCGTCCCCGTTCTTCTCCCCTAACCCAAGAAAAGCAGCACTGGAAAGAACCACTGCATACACAGGGGACTTCCTGTGGGCAATACAGCTGAAGAACGTGCAGCATCTGCAGACCTGCCATGGGTCAGGTCCAAGTCAAATACTCAGCCAAGTGGAAACTAAACAAAGCAGATCCTGGCTCAAGAGAAAGAATATTCTAGGAATTCAACCTTCTCAGGATTGCACTGTTTGGGCAGGGGAGTGGGAGAAGCAGGTAGAAGCTGTGGCAAACTTTACAGCATGCAGTTCAGCATCAGAAAGTGCATCCCCGTGCTGCAGAACTTCCTTACTATGTGCTCATCAAGGATCTTGCCGCCTCTCACTTCCCTACTCTTCATTCCAGCTCTACCTGCCACCTCTGGATTGCTCACTGTATTCCCCAGGACCCCGTGAACACGAGTGGAGGGAGGCTCCTCACCCAGGAACCCCCTCACCACCCACAACACTAAGCACGTGTCTGGTATGGGGCAGGCACTCAACATTTCACATGAATGGGCTTTGGGGATTGAGAAGTATCCTGAAATATTTAAGTGTCTGGATGTTCATTTAGGTTTTTAAATACTGAAAAATTAGAACCAGTTAAGTATCTAATAAAGGACTAAATGAGTAAATTAGTCTACAGCCAGAAGGTTGAGGGCTGTGCATCCATAAACTTGCTGTGGTCTGAAAGTACTCCAGGAGTCCCAAATGGCTACTGTAGACCTCCTGGACTACACAGATCCAGGAACTGAGCAGGGTCCCCGCTCTGCAGACTCCCCAGAAACCAATCTAGTGAGACAAAACTCCAGACATTCCCATCAAAAGCTCCAAACCCAGAGCAAGACCAACTATCTGGCCTGGGGAGAAATCAGAGAGAAAGAGAAAGGGACAGGGTCTTGCTGCATCCCACATCCAGCTCAGCAGCACACCTGTCCTCTCTGCTCTGTCACCAAAATACTACTCAGAAAGTTCTCCTACACTGGTGCATATACTACAGTGTCAGCCTTAGATGACCATGTCCAAGCATGAGTGGGATGCAGAGCAACAACATAGCAACCAAGCCAACACCTGACAGCAGAAGAGGATAAACAGAGGAGTACAAGGTGTTCAAAAGACAAACTGTATCCTAGAAGAAACCCTCAAGGAAGAAAGGGAAATCCTCACAAACGCTTCATGCTCCAAGACATCAAGAACATGAATTCAGGAAAATAAGAGTGCAAAGAGGAAAAGATGAAACAGAAAAAAGGGAAGAGGAGATATCCAAGAAATGATGACCAAAACACAGTCAAATGAGGGGTGCCTAGGTGGTTCAGTCAGCTGAGCCTCTGACTTGATTTCAGTTCAGGTCACAATCTTGGGGTTATGGGATGGAACCCCGTGTCAGGTTCCACACTCAGCATGGAGTCTGCTTGCGATTCTCTCTCTCCCTCTCCCCCCCAGACCCCACTCATGTGTTCTCTCCCTCTCTAAATAAATTAAATGTTTAAAAATCACAGCAAAATTAGTAGGTTAAAGCAGCAAAGTGTGGGATACACAGCAGAAAACTGAATTATTATCTTAGAGGAAAGGATACTAATTGAAGAGACAGATAAAAACATAAAGGATACTAGTTGAAGAGACAGATAAAAACAAGAACAAAAAGCAGACAACAGCTATCCAACAGAAAGGTCTCTGGTGGGGATTCCAATAAATGGAACATTAGGCGCATTTTTTTAAAGATTTATTTATTTATTTGTGATAGACATAGAGAGAGAGAGAGAGAGAGAGAAAGAGAGAGAGAGAGGCAGAGACATAGGAGGATGGAGAAGCAGGCTCCATGCAGGAGCCCAACACGGGACTCGATCCCGGGACTCCAGGATCACGCCCTGGGCCAAAGGCAGGCGCTAAACCGCTGAGCCACCCAGGGATCCCGATTAGGTGCATTTTTTAAAATACACATAACGAACAAGAAAATTTCCTGATGTGATTAAAGAAATCAAAATTCAGTGTGAAAGAGCACACTGAATTCCAGAAAAATCTAACACAATGTGTTCAAGGTAGTATCAGATCACAACCAAGTTACTAAACTACTTAACCTCAAGGATACAGACAGTTACAAGTGCAAAAAGCACATCACCCACAAGGGAGTAAAAAGGAGGAAAAAAAAAAAAAAGGCCAGCCTCAGATTTCTCCCATTGCCTTGTTAATTACAGGAAGACCCTGGAGCACTGGATGGCCAGAGACTATTATACCCAGCCAAGGTGTCATTCAAGTCCAAAGCAAGGGACAGATCCTTGTAAATGTGAGACAATGGGAGAAGAAAACAGGAATCTAGGCAATCAAGAGATGAGCCAAAATTAGGGCCCCTAGGTGGCTCAGTCAGTTGGGCACCTGAGAGAGAGAGCGATGAGCCAAAATTAAAGATTCTGTATTAGGAAAGCCATACCTGAATAAAAGCATTAGATCAATTTAAGTAGAAGACAGAGCCAAAGAATGATGGACAGCATGACAATGGAGAGAATGAAAAGTACAACATGAAGTTAATAATAACATGCTTTTAAGTGAGAGACCAGAGAGGAAGGAAAAAGAGTAAAAATGCTGGCACCTTGGCACCCCCCTTGGCTGGGGAGTAAACCCATATGGTCAGAATCGCAACACTGCTTTAAAAAGCCACAATCCTAACCTTGTGATGCTTTCACAACTCTCTTCCCTTAACCTTTAATGAACCCTTTAGAAAATAAGCTCTTGTGTTAAGGAAACATTTATTTTTTTTTAAATTTTATTTTTATTTGATGATAGTCACAGAGAGAGAGAGAGAGGCAGAGACACAGGCAGAGGGAGAAGCAGGCTCCATGCACCGGGAGCCCGATATGGGATTCGATCCCGGGTCTCCAGGATCGCGCCCTGGGCCAAAGGCAGGCGCCAAACCGCTGCGCCACCCAGGGATCCCAGAAACATTTATTTTTGAAGCTTAACATTTCTCTGGTTTTACTTCAACTTCTCGCTTAGTTGAGATCAAGTAAAAACAATACTTTTGTTACAAAATAGCACTGTCAATTATTAGCATTGTAATTATTTTATTACAAAATAGCAGGTTCCATTTTCACAAAGTACAAAGGTACTTTTGTCTCCAAAACTATCACTGTACCTGCCCTAAATGCAGTATACAGTGGTCTCAATGAAGTGAACCCAGTGTGACCAGAGGTTACTTTGAGCATCTAGGATATGGGGTAAGAGACATTTCCTTCCTTGTACTTGTCAAGTATTGATGGATTATACTGAATATGTGCCATTTTTATGATCTTATACTAATACAGAAGGATCTGTCTTAACTAGAACAAACTGGGGGAAAAAAATACCAAGATGTTATGTTAGCAGTGCTTAGAATTGTAGGGTGGATATGGTAAAAATTTTCTTCTTCGTACTTTTCTGTATTCTCCAGGAAAAAATATCCAGCATTGTTAAAGAGGGTGTGGTGATGCTGGAAATTTATGGTAGCTAGTCAAGTGTTGAGAGAAAAAAACCAAACTAGAAGCCTCGACGTGTATTAGCACAGGTACACAGAAGAGTGGATCAGCACTGATAAGAGGGTACAGAAGATTTCCTGTCCTTCTCTCTTACCAACTTAATTTCTGGAAAGTGAACATTTACAACTTGTATAGTTAAAAAGACACATCTTGCTTTTGTTTCTTAATAAGAAGAGGCTTCTCAGATGGAATGATTCCCAGTCCCTGAGATGCTGGCATGGCAGGTAGAGCATCAGAGAATGTAGGTGGATTAAAACCCCAGATGAAGAGGATGAGGGGATTTCAAAATTCCCATGGGGTGGAGCAGTCCAGTGATGCTGCATAAATGTGGAACAAGGGGGTGAAAACTGCCCTGAGTCAGACGCAGCCCTCAGACACTACCCAGGACGATGTTTTTTAGGTCAGAAACAAAATTAAGGAGGAAAGGGCTCCGTTCATACTCAACAATATATAGCACCTGGAACAACACACCACACGAAAGCCTGGCATGCCCAAGCTAAGGTGCCCAAGCTTGTAGCCTTTATATGCTTTTGATGGCTGGAAAGAAAAAGAAAAGAGCTCATAAAAGCAGATGAGTTTCTAAAAGGAGTTACCTTCAAGCTTCACCAACATGCAGATACTCAGCATGCTTAGACCTTAAGGTTTGGAATATTCCAACTGGAACAAAACTCACCAGTGGCTATGGCCCAGTAAACGTCTGATCCACTCAGTAACTCACCACATGCTATGGGAGAATAAACCTGGGACCCAGGCACTTGAAGGAGAATTCGAAATGGAGCCACCCGTGCATTGGAATCCAGCACTGCATCCAGAGCACCTACCAGGCGACCTTCAAAAGAAAAAAGAAAGTGCACCTCTGAGCACAGGGACTGACCAGCTGCCCACTCCCCGCACACAGTTCAGTTGGTGTCTAAACATGACACGAGAAGGCAACAGGCTTGGGTCCAGTTCTTCAACTCACCTCTCAAGAGCCCAAGCTCCATGAGGCCCAGAGCTCTGGCTACCCGATGCCAGATACCCAACATCTGGAACAGGGCCTGACATTAACAGGCACTCAGTGCACATTTGCAGAATCCAGTGACCAAGTGAACAAGGGACCCCAGAAGAGTCACCTAACTTGTTTGCTTTCCTCAACATCTTCAAAACAGAGGCAACATGACTCTGTAAATAAGAGCTGGAGATCTGTACTCAGAATGCCTGACTCGAGTCCCAGCTCCCCAATTTTCAAGCTGTGTGATCTTAGGCAAGTTACTTAACTTTTCCATGCCTTGTAAAATGGAATAATCGCTGTATACCTACCTCATAGGGTAATTGTAAGAATTAATGTATGTAACATTCAAAAAGTCTTAGACTATCACCTGGATGTAAGAAGTACCATTATTATTTTATCATCATCTCCATGGTATATGAATAACCCCTGCCTACTCCAGAAGGGGACTGTGAGCAGCAAATAATATACTGGAGTCCTTCACAGGCCATAAAAGCATACAAAGTAAAGGTTTATCATTCTGTTGTCATGAATATCAGCATGAATCCACAGCAAACACAGAAACACACCCACCCACACAGCAGGTGGCAGACGATTTCATATTGTCCCATTACTGGTAAAAGTGTTTGCCAAGCTTCCACACTGTAAAGTTACTCCTTTTTCCCTTCATAATTAACAAGTATGCTGTGAAGTACTTTGAAACTACATTCCTCATTAAATTTTCAACTTTTTTATTTCTATCAGTATGGTTTCATGTTCTCCTGCTTTATCCACTCTGGCATTACAGGTATTTTGATGTTCACATTGTCTCTGACAATGAGTAGCCAGTGAGAGCCCCTTCAAGCTGGTTTCTGTGTCCTTTGGACATGTCCTCATTATTCTTTCTACTTTCTGGCATGATCAAATAATCCCAGTTCAACCTGTATTTTTCCTGCTTTAGCCCTGGAATCAGCGATTTCTCCAAGAAGCCCTGGTTCATTTAGTGAAGAATGGTATGAAAAGCCAAGATCTAGGATCCTTGGGTGGGTCAGTGGTTGAGTGTCTGCCTTTGGCTCAGGGCGTGATCCTGGAGTCCTGGGATCAAGTTCCACATCAGGCTCCTGGCAGGAAGCCTGCTTCTCCCTCTGCCTGTGTCTCTGCCTCTCTCTCTGTCTCTCTCATGAATAAATGGATAAAGTCTTTAAAAAAAAAAAAAAAGCCAAAATCTGGGAGCCAGGTATACTTACTGCTATGAGGGTGCTTGCTCCCAGAACCTTTCAGTGGTCAGAATTTCATACTATACGTACATGTGTGTATATGCATATGTGCATGGGTATATATATGTATTTACATATACATAAGTACACATTAACATTATTTTTATATTGATTTTATACATAAAAACTGAGCTCACATCACTACCTCCAATTGCAATCCAATTGCAATCCACTGTTCATTCCCATTTCTTTCCACATTTCCAACTCTCTTCAACACCAAGGAACCTGGTTTCCATTATTCTTAATGTATTTACATATCTAATCAGTCCTCCTGTTGCTACCAATGTCCCCTTTCTGACAGATGCCCTCTTCACCCTATTCAGGCTCCAACTGCCCATCCACCCCCTCCCACCCCCCATAAAATCACCTTGATCTGTCCCAATTAATGACTTGAGGGGAAGAAGGAGAGTGTGTGACTTTATAGCAATTATTCCTTAGGCTGCTCAGAATTTTTACCCCCTTACTTGTTTGCACTTGACTTACACATAATTGAGGGGGGCTGAAAGCTGTCAGATTAAGGGGCTGCTACTTTAACACAGAACCTGCACAGCTGCTTAGGGGAGCTCTGCGATTAAAAGCACAGGTCGGTGTGGGGGGGTAGAGTAAAGTTAAAGATGCATTTGTATAAGATTGATAAACATGCCTGACTGTCAAAGCTTGGAGGGAGGGAGTGATAGGGAAGTGGATGGACCCTAGAAAGGTGCTAAAAACCCCACCTGTTCTTCATGTAGACTTAGCACTTCCCAATTTAAGTGATCTGTTATAGAATCCGTATCTAGTTTGCTAGTAAGAAAAACCTGAGCAACAAAATGAAGGAAGTGAGAAGGGTGGGAAATAACAGCATCACCACAACACAGAAAGCAGTTGTTTTTATCAGAAAGAGTGATTTTTTTTTTTTCCTCTTCAACTCAGGAGGCTTTTGCAATGGTCCAGGTGTCTTATACCAACACAACCAACCTGGTACCAAACTTCAGCTGCTGGGAAGGTGGGGAGGGAGCGATGAAGGGAATGGGGGGCAGACAACGACTTCTAGTTTCAGCTCTACCATGTAAAGAATATGGAGTCCTCACTCCCATCAAGAAGCTGAGCAAACCGAAAACCAGGGGCTTTTCTGGGACCCATCAAAGAACTAAGGTCACAGTTCAAATCACGACCCAGAAATCTGGAGAGAAGAAACAATTCAAAGTCACAGCCAAGATCTGCTTGCCTGACACAGAAGGCACTGGGGCCATTACACCAGTAGAAACACTTAAATGGTGGTTTTGACAAGTTGCTGGAGGCTGAGTGCAAACTAACAGGAGAGTAAGAAATTCCTGGTGGCCACAGTCTTAGGGGGCCCCAAACCCGTATGGTTTTTACCACTAGGTTCTTGCTATGAAAAGCCAGGAAAAATCCCCACATGCTTGCCTAGGGGAAGGGAAGTCATCACAGTGCAGGGTGCTCAGAGCATCCTCCATAACACAGGCCTGCTCTCCAGGGAAAAGACTTTTCCAGAACTTTATCCTAGCTAGGGGAAGGCCATTTCTGACTTCAACCCACTCGTCTTCCAGTCTCACCTTAGGAGAGGGTGAGAGGAAGAGAGAGGCATCCAAGAAACACTGCTAAAGAGTACAACCCAGGGACACAGACTGAGATTTCTCTGATAAGATTTACAGGGTGCTTCTCCCCATTCTTTATCGCCATATCAACAGCTGAAGAGCTGGAAGACTTCGATTCCACGTGAAGAGTTCAGGGTTTTGGGGTTTCTCAGTGATTAAGAAATCTCTACACCCAACATAAGGCTTGAACTCACAACTCTGAGACTAAGAGTCCTATGCTCTGGGGCACCTGGGTGGCTCAGTTGGTTAAGCGTCCAACCCTTGGTTTCAGCTCGGGTCATGATCTCTGGGTCATGAGATGGTATACACCCTCAAGCTCCTCCTCCTGCCTCTGCGCTCGCTCTCTCTCTCTCTCTCTCTCTCTCAAATAAATAAATAAAATATTAAAAAAAAAGAATTAAAAAAAAAAAAAAAGAAAAGGCCATGCTCTACAGACTGAGCTAGCCAGGTACGGAATTTGTTGTTAAAGCAGCCCAAAGACAGACCAAAGCAAGGACACCTGAGGAATCTGAGAACCTCAGGCACCTGTAGCTACAGCACACAAATACAGCCCAAGTCCTGGTCAGAAGCACATAGAACTAAGAACTATTTCTTCAGTTCTTAGTACCCCATACATCATGTCGGGCTTTCAGAAACAATTACAAAGAATGCTGAGAAGCAAGAAAACACAGTCTGGAGAGACAAAGCAAATATGAGAGAATGAGCCTCATGTGTGACACAGACAAGATGCCCGACCAGTCCTATCAGAATCACCAAATTCATTAAAAACAAGGGAAGTCTGAGAAACTGTCACAGCCAAGATGACAACCACATGGGAAGTAATGTCCTGAGAGGTGACCCCCGGAGCAGAAAAAGGCCAGCAAAACCTGTATAAAACATAGTCTTTACCGAACTATCACCATATTCGTTTTCTACTGCTGCTCCAACAAATAACCACAAACAGTAGCTTAAAACAAAACAAATCTATTATCTCATAGTTCTGTAGGTCGGAGGTCTGATACAGACCCCACTAAGCTAAAATCAAGGGGTCAACAGGCACATTCCTTTCTGGAGGCCCAAGAGGAGAATCCCTTTGCTTGCCTTTCCCAGCCCTGAGTGGCCACTCACTTTATCTGGGTCCCGGCCTCTTCCCCCATCTTCAAAGCCAGCAACACCAGGGTGAGTTCCTCTTCCACTTTTGAAACTCCTTATGATCACATTGAGCCCTCCTGCTTAATTCAAGCTCATCTCCCTACATGAAGATCTGCTGGTTAGCAACCCACTTAATTCCACCTGCACACTTAGTTCCCTTTTGCCACAGAACCTAACATATTTACAGGCTTAAGTCATAGTCTGCCCATCACCATAATCCATCAATATCTGTTCATTCACTGTAATAAATACACCATACCAATATGTCAATAGTCAGAGAAATTGGGTATAGTGTCTAAGACAACTCCCTATACTGGCCTTCACCATGTTTCTGTAAATCTAAAAACTGTTCTAAAAAAATAAAGTTGAGGGATCCCTGGGTGGCGCAGCGGTTTAGCGCCTGACTTCGGCCCAGGGCGCGATCCTGGAGACCCGGGATCGAGTCCCGCGTCGGGCTCCCTGCATGGAGCCTGCTTCTCCCACTGCCTGTGTCTCTGCCTCTCTCTCTCTCTCTCTCTCTCTCTCTCTCTCTCTCTCTCTCTGTGTGTGTGTGTGTGTGTGTGTGTGTGACTATCATGAATAAATAAATAAAAATCTTTTAAAAAATAATAAAAAATAAAGTTGAGTTTCTTTTTTAAAAAAAAGTGACAAGGGGGCAGCCCTAGTGGCGCAGCGGTTTAGCGCCGCCTGCAGCCCGGGGCATGATCCTGGAGACCTGGGATGGAGTCCCACATCGGGCTCCCTGCATGGATCCTGCTTCTCCCTCTGCCTGTGTCTCTGCCTCTCTCTGTGTCACTCATAAATAAATAAAATCTTTTAAAAAAATAAAAAGTGACAAGGGAAGTCAGGTCAGTCA